CCCGCGCCTCCCCGCCGCACCGCGGGCCCGCAGCGCGGGGCGGGGCAGGCGGCCCGGCCCAACCCGGCCGGGCGCCGCCGCGCTCTTACCGAGGGATCTGTACGGGAAAAAGGGTTAGAACGGAGCCGCCCCGCCCGGGCCCGCGGCGCCCGAGCCCCGCGCACCCACCGCAGCCGCACAAAATGGCCGCCGCGATGCGGCGCCGGGGGGCGGGGCCTCGTGCGCGCGGACGGCGCGTGCGCGGGGCGGGGGCGGAGCCTCAGAGCCCTCAGGAGGGGCCGCTGGGCGGGAGCGGAACAGACCCAGACCCAGACCCAGACCCAGACCCAGACCCAGACCCAGACCGAGACCCAGACCCAGACCCAGACCCTCCGGAACTGCAACAATCCCCCATCCGCTGGCGCGTCGTGTACGAATTAGTGACAGTGAGTGGTGGGGCTGCCGAGGGAAAGCAGACTTGAAGAGGGCACTGAGCTTCAAGCGAGCAGAAGAACCCTGAGAGCGGCTCGCTTCTTCACTTCGGAGCAAGTTGCAGGATTAAAATGAAAGATTCCCCTGGGCCGATGTCCCGTCCTGTGTTTATGCTTGGCCTGACTGAACTCAGCCCCGATAACCAGGCCGTGCCCTGGGCTGAGGGACCCCGGGCGCTCCAGCACTGAGGACACGGGCGCGGCAGCACCGGCCATTCCCGATGGAAAACCCCCTGTGGAGTCCTCTGTAAGAAACGGACACAAATACACCACTGCCTCCCTTTGCAGCAGATTTGGGGGCTCAACAAGTCTGTTAACTTTGTCATTTTTCACCTCTCAACAGAAAGCAGGCCCGACTGCGATGGGTGTGCTCTCCCAAGGCAGAGGGGTCCAGCCTGGCTCAGCACCACAATAACCCCCTGCTCCAGCATTTGTTTCCCTGTATATTCCCTCTTTCTACTCCCCAATTCTACTTTACCACCCTCATCCCCTCCCAAGAAACAGCCCACACTCACTTATGTCCTCCCTATTATTCCCAGTTTTACAGATTTTGTATTCTATTTGGTATTTATGGTGATAGTGAGGGGTGGCAGAAGCACCTGCAGCTCAGGGCAGCTCCCCTGCAGCAGGGAGAAGGTTTGGGTAACAAAAGGGCAGCGCTGGAAGGTCACAGGTCAGAAGGAAACTAGGACTTTTCAGCCTTTGGGGAATGTGATGAGTCACCATGTTACTTTTTGTTGCTCAAATAAGGTCTGGTGGAGAGACTTGTGATGTTTACTGTGTGGACCATCAAAAATAAACCAGGACCGAACTCCAAAATCCTCAGTGGGCCTCCAGACTGTGTCTGCACAGCCTCCACGAAGGCACAGTGAAGAGCAAATCCTGCTGCCCTGGACAGCTGCTGCAGCCCAGCACATGTCCTTGCACCTCCAGCGTCCTGGTCTGTGCTGCACCTTGGATGCCTGTGACAGACTATACCAGCAAGTGTCCAACTGCCTTCTCAGCCATACCCGAATTTTCATGGGGAAAGAATACCCAGTTTACTCAAAATTAACAGAAGCAGATTTGTTGAAAATGGATGAGAGGGAACAAAATCCTGGACTGGTATTACTACTAGTATTAGTATTAGGAGCATGCCGAGTGGCCAAGAGTACCAAAGAAGAGTCAGAAGCACGATGCAGTTGGTTACCAACAGCAGGAGGAAGGTGTCTGTGGAAAGCAAAGGTTAAAGGACAGGGATCATGAGCAACCATGTCCAGTGTGATGCCTGCAACATGCACGTAGGGGAAGGCAGGCAGACAAAAAATGCTTTAGGAAAGGACAGGATTTGCCTTTATTAGGTACTAGGAGCACGCTGGTTTATCTGTCTCCTCCACCTAAACCAAAGCTGAAGAAGGGTGTCAGGGATGCAACTAGGGCAAGAAAATTTACACAGGACATTTTAAAGTAAAGCTCACAGATGTCTCCCAGGAATACTCTGCATTTCTCATCCCCATCTCTATTTAAAACCTGTCAGTCAGCTATGATGTCCCTTATTGATCCTGTGTAGTTACTGTTTAGAATCAAACACCTGATTGGTTTTACTGTGCCTACTCAGCACATAACCACTCTGATTGCTCATTAGTATGAGCTTTGCTTCTTATAAGAGCATCTTGTACCAGCCTTTTTTTATGACTGATTTGGACAGATCAGAGGAACATCAGCTGTCAGAGGGATCAGTCCTCCCAGCCACTCAGCTTGTCTGTTTTAAAAACTGGCATTTGCTTCCTTCCAGTGCAGGACCTTATTCAGCAGCCTGAAATTTCATCAAAGCTGTCCATAGTAGAGAAGAGATCTCTTAGGACAGCTTTTTGGGACTCAGCCTTGGGAAACTGTATCATTTCAAAGCACAGGGCACACATGTTAGCAGAAACAATTTGCCTGGAAACAGCTGGCCCATGAGTGACATCACAGCAGACAGAGAACTGCCAGCCAGTCCATCAGGCAGGTGTAGTTCCCCAGGTCTTCCTTATTTCCCCTTTAAAAAATGGGGGTTACGTTTGCCATTTTGCAGTCACTGAAAACTTCACTGGACTGCCACAACTTTCAAACTGATGGACAGTGCTCACCCACTTCCTTCAGGACCCACAGGTGCATCTCATCAGGTCCCATGGACTTCTGCACCTTCAGGTTCCTTGAATGGTCCTGATGTTCTCCTGCAGGAGTGGTTCTTCATTCTCCCAGTCCCTGCCTCTGCCTTCTGTGATTTGGGTGGTGTGGCTGGAGCACTTGCCAACGAAGAACAAAGAATATCTCCGCCTTTCCCATGTCCCAGTAGAACACGCCTCTCGTTTTGTTCCAGAGAGGACCATTTTTTCCCTACTCTTCATTTTATCAATGAGGTACCTATAGAAGCTTGTCTTATTGCCCTTGATTTAATCCCACCAGGGCTTTAGCTTTCCTAACCTGATTCCTGGCTGGTTGAACAATCTCTCTGTACTCCTCCCAGGCTAATTGTCCTCACTTCCACCTTCTGCATTCTTCCTTTTTGTGCTTGAGTTTGTCCAGGAGCTCCTTGTTCATCCGTGCAGGCCTCCTGGTGTTTCTGCCTGACTTCTGCTTCACTGGGATGCATCACTTCTGAGCTTGGAAGAGGTGATCCTTGAGTATCAACCAGCTTCCCTGGGCTCCTCTTCCCTCCAAGGCTTTATCCTATAGACTCTACCAAGCAGATCCCTGGAGTCCAAAGTCTGCTCTCCTGAAGTCCAGGGCAGTGAGTTCAGGGCATCCTCATTGCCCCAAGGATCTCAAACTCTACCGTTTCATGGTCACTGCAGCCCAGGACTGTCCTTGTAGGTAAGAATAAGGTGGCATGGCCCCCATCCTCCTTGGCTCCTCTATCACTTGGAGAAGCAAGTTGTCATCAACACATTCCAGGAACCTCCTGGATTGCCCTGCTGAGTTGTCCCCCCAATGTCAGGGTGGTTGAAGTGCCCCACGAGGACCAGGGCTTGTGAACATGACAACATTCCTATTTGTCTGTAGAGGGCCTTGTTGGCTCAGTCTTCCTGGTCAGGTGGCCTGTACCAGACTCCCACCTATCCCTGATAGCTGATGTCACCTATCCCTCCCTTTAATCCTGACTCCTAAGCTCTTTAGTCAGCTCCTCATCCATCCCCAGGTGGAGCTCCATGCACTCCAGCTGGTCAGACACAGAGGGCAACAGTGTGTGTGTCCTCTTCTCCCCTGCCTGTCCTTCCCGAAGAGCCTGTGTGCTTCCACCCCAACCCTCCAGTCACAGGAGCCATCCCACCACATCTCCCTGTTGCTAATAAGATCACAGCCCTGCAGGCACGTGCACGGCTCTAACTCCTCTTGTTTCTTCCCTAGGGAATGTTCCTCTGCACAGACATTTAAGTTGCCTCCCCTTCCCACCCCCATGAGGCCACTGGAATTCCCTCGTGCCGCCCTTCAGCTGCTCTCCTGTGACCTAGGACCCCTCTCCAGGCTCTGGGCATATCTCACTGCCACTGGCATCAAACCAGTAAGAGCGGGATGGACTGAGGATCCCATCCCCCAAAGGCTTTAACTGCACCCAGTGAGGTACAACTGGGTGTTCATCCTTGCCATTACTTCTTTCTGTCATGGAGAAAAGTATCTCCACTACACATTTTTCCTCATCTTGTCCTATAAACATTTTCAAACAAACACTTGTTACCACTGTGAATGAGTTTTCCAAACCCTTACATGTAGAATTTATATTTTAGATCTTAGCACACAAGAAGTGGTCAGAATCTGCAAGATTTGGAGCTCTCTTTTCTCAAAATAATCATGGCTTAAGCTATTTGAGTTTTTTAAAAAAATTAGCCCTGTTCAGGCACAGAGTTTGAGAAGAATGACTCTTCAAAAGTCAAATGTAATCTTGATGACAGCGAACTTCTAACAGTGTTTGCAGAAAGTCAGGAGTTTATCTTTCCCTGTTCCCCAATGAAAGCTGCAATTTAGCAACTTAGTGGTGGTGCTGCAAGGTTCACCCAGAAAGGCGGATCCGAAAAGACTGACAGTAGCCAACTTTAAGTCTTACCTATAATTTTTTATCATTCTTGAAAGACAAAGAACAATTTCATAAACATACAGTTCTGAAACATGCTGGGAAAGCGTTATCACATGCTTAATCCAGAAAATACGTATGGCCCAAGGATAAAACAGAGCCTATACAACACTGCTAAAACCTACTTATGCATACGGTATTTTAAAAATGTTGTGATGAAATATAAGGTGCCAGCACTACAACAGTAAAACTGCTAAACCTAAGAATTTCAAATAGAACAACTGAGGATTAGCTTTCTATTACAAACAACTAAATCTGTCCTTAGTAACAAAAAAATGCACAAGCTTCTGTAACACAATCCACCTTGTGAGACTCAGCTTTGGCTTTTACACGACACAGTTGATCCTCGAGGTAGATTCCATCCCAAAGAGAAGGTACTGTCTATGGGGTGTATCAAATTCAGCAGCTCACACAGCATCCATCATCAGCACAGCTCATTGGAGAGCTGTCTGCTTATGCACTGAAAGAAAGGCACTTTGTCATACAGGCTTCAGTTTCCTACTGGAAAGATCACCAAAGGTAAGAAAGGAGAGACACTGCTACGAATTAATCTCATCAAACCCTTTTTAACAGACACCTCCCCCAGCACGTGCAGGAAATGGATTCCCATGCCAGTCTCCAGTCAGGCAGTACAGTCTGTGAGACAGAGAAACTCCAAAGCCACCTGTTCTTATCTCCAGACAAAATATACAGGCTCAGCTGGGCACAACTCCCTGCACTGACAGAAGCCAAGGGCCCACAGGCAAACCAAGTAACATCAAAGGACTCATGACAAGGGGAGAAAAAAACAACAAAACCCCCACAAAACTCAGACTTCAGACATTGCACCGTGTCTGCTCTCCCCACCACCTCCACCACTGGTGCTCCCACCAAACTGGTGCTGCCACCGAAGCTGACAGATCCTGCCCGTCCCCTCCCCCAGTCAGGTCAGAATTCTTTCTTTACTTAGGTAAAATTGCATGGGAAAAAAACAATGGAGGGGACAGCAAAGTGCATCATGATTGTATCATAAACTCTGGAACACAGAAGGATCTTTTGGATTAATGCACACACACACAAAAAAAAAGATAAAACCCAGGAAAAAGAGCCAAAAATACTCAATTTCAGAAAAAAATTGTTCTTAACTGCACATACAACTTATCTGTGAAGGCACATAGCCACACTGAGACATCCCTTTCCTCTAGAGATGCCAAGCATCTTCCTATCTAGAGCTTACAGCAGTACAAGACAAAGAGAGGCAAAGCCCAACTGCTGTGCAGGACACCACCTCAAACACAGCAAACTGGCACCAGGTCTGTGCTGCAAACACAACAACGACTTGAGATGAGTTACACTGAGAAGCAACAACCCCGTGCCAGGATTACAATGGCCTAAGAGGAACCTGCTGATTTAATCTTCTCAGAAAATACATTTCCAAATAAATTGCATTTTAGGATAAACTTCTGTGTGTCAATGGACATGCAATGGGCGTTGGATCAGCCTGCCTTTCTCCATGATAAAGACTAGTTTCATTTTTGGTTTCTTAGACTTTGTGATCAGAAAACACAGTTCTCCCATCAAACTGCAAGTGTCAGAAAACAGAAGTGCTGCATAATTTGCTCAAGAATGTACAGAAAAATACATTTTAATCCACATCTAGTCCATGGATAGTGACGTTTTCTCAGTGCTGAGTCCACTTAATGCTTTTGAGGTCAATTCCATCCTGCACCATTTCCCAGAGGGGGCTGTAAAGAAAGGAGAAAAATAAGGGCTACCTAAAATGCACAGAACATCATCAACAACAATAAGCAGACAATTTGATCAATAACACAAGAAATCAGGAGGTATCTCTTTGCCTAGACTGAGCCCTCACACTTTCACTGTCAGATGAGTCACGACTCTTCCCGTTGCACCAGAATAAACTAACTTTTACATTAACTCAGTAATACCATCTCTGCATTAGAACCTTCTAGGTACTGCCCTACGTGCTTGCCCTACTTGTATTCTTCTCTGACAAAGGCAGGATCTGTGAAAAGGTTTGATTTCAGGTTTGTTTCCTTAAAAATGAGTCTCTACTGTTAAAATCAGGCCCATCACGCACTCTGGGGACACTGTTTGCTGATTTACAGAAACACCACCAGATTTTTGAAGCAGACCATTACTCTGAACTAAATCCAACTCTTCCTATGATTATGACCCCTAAGAAGTCCTTGTGTCCAGTAAGGATGGCTCACCTCATTTCCCTCAGCCTCTTCACGTGCTGTATGCACTTCTGCACTGTATAATCCACTTCTTCTTCTGTGGTGAAACGACCAATGCCAAACCTAAACCAAAGGAAAACCATTAAGGACCAGAACAGAGTGCATGTGGAGGGGTGGAACAAATCCACCACCGACTTTTATCAGAAGAGAAGAACACGTGGAAACATCAGGGCAGAGCACACACCTTATAGACGAGTGAGCCAAGTCTTCGTCTGTGCCGATCGCCCGCAGAACATAAGAAGGCTCCAGAGAGGCTGAGGTGCAAGCACTGGGAAAGGGAAGGCAGGGAAATGTCACACTTCTGTTCACAGGCAGATGCTACAGTGAAGTAACACTGCACTAATCTCCTCCAACAAAGAACAGGTAGCTTACAGATGTTTCTTATGACTATGACTCTTTACAACAACCTGTATCAGCTTCCCCAGCCTCTTAGAAACCACCATGAATACAGGCAAGAAAAGTGATATTTCTATTGATGAAGAAAAAAGAATAGAAGGGGCAGGCATTAAAGGGAAATGGGGGTAATAAATTAGGAGCATAAGGTAAGGAGAGAGAACACAGATAATGCAGCAAGAATGAACATAAAGCCACACAGAGACATGGGGAATGCGGATTAGGAGGTAGCTGAAGTAAAGGCTGTGGAAAAAAAGACAAAGGAGCCAAGACAGAACTATCCAGAGAAGGTAACACACCAGGAACATAATGAAAAAGAAAGACTTCACAAGCTGCTGTTTGGCAGCAGAACAAATAAATGAAAAGCAGGGCACAGAGGAATCCAGAGCAAGATGATCCAGTTACAGCTGCCAGCAGAGAAAACTTTCACCTTGAAGCAGTAGGGAAAACTGGTTACGTCCTGGGACTCAGTTCTAACAGGCAGCCACATGCAGCACAAATCAGAGCTGTTTACAGCTCCCTGGTGCACAGAGCAGAAACTCAGAAGAGATCTTCACGTGACACAAGTCAGACACAGTCATGTGGAGACTTGTTCTCCCTGTTCATCGTGCCAACCTGTTTCTAATTAGGATATGCTGACTGCTTTGTTCTCAAAGGTGAGGGAAGGAAGGGGCATCCTCACACTCCATTCCTTTCATCATAAACATCAGGAGTGTCTTGGTAACAGAAATGTTACTCATCACTCCTGTAGTCAGCAGAGCTCCATAAAAGCATACGCCATTTCCTTTCTGCTGCTACATTTAACACAGGGACTATGATCTGATTTAACTCAGATACTTGCCCAGCCTCAAGAGATTGCAGTTAAATCCTGCTGAAGGACAGAAGCTGCTCAAGTGCTGGTGGCCTTCAGAATGACAGTATCACCAGTACAAGCCAAGGCTACTCAGATCACAGGTAACCAATCTGCAAGGCTGGGGCTGGCAGGTACGAATTTGTAGCTTGGTTTTTGTGGGGTGGGGGTTGGAGTTTGTTTGGATTTTGTTTTGGTTTTGTTTTGTTTGTGGTTTTATTTGTTTTTTTTCTTTCAGGATGAGTAAATTTGACCTTCAGTAGAAATATGCCCCTTAAATACCACCTTAGAATGCAATCAGTGCCAGGCTGACTCATTGACTGAATATGCAAATACGGGGCACAGAAGAGACCACTCCTTAGTCTTTACCTCCATTAGCAGATGCTGTTTTCTCTCCAAAACATACTGCTACCCTTCCCATACATTCCACCTACCTTCCTGAAGACAGAGCCACATCTTTCAGAGCCATCAGAAGACTCTCTCCTTCCACATATGCAAAAGATAAATTGATGCATCCTACACAAAAATAAATGAAATAGAAAAAAAATACATCAACTGACATCTCTGGCAAATCCTCTCCTGCATGGCAGGACCTGCATCACGTGTGGCTCAAGGGCATTCTTCAGCCACAGCCTCACCCCCGAGGCCCCAGGCAGCTCTGAGGGCTCGTTACCTGGGTAGCGATGCTCCCGGTCCCCGTTCATCACCACGTCAGGAACTTCACTCATTATTTTGGTCACCAGTCGTTCTGCCAGTTGTGAGACTCGCTTATGGTCATACTAACAAAGAAACCAGAGGAGACCCAAGTAAGAAAGTGTACATCCTGACCTCACTCAAACTGCTTCGTGTCGCCAACTGTGAGCAGCCCTGAGTAACTGGGGTTGGCCAGACGGGAAAAATCACAGCTGAAACTTGAACTGACAAACTTTGCCTGCCCTGGTGACTGCCAGTTTCAAAAGAGAATAACCACCTGGCTCCTAGCTAGCTCAGTCTTCAAAGGGGTCACAAACCATGCAGAAAGATCTACATACACAAGCTGCCAAACCGCCTTTCATAAAAGCACAGACCTGTGTTTAAAGACAAGTTAGACAATGCACAAGATGATGCATTTTGCACCACAAGAAAGGGCACCTGTTATGGCAAGTGCTCCTTATTTCCCAGCTCTCCAACTGTACCAGAGACACAGACTCACAAACTACTGCGAGCTCAGCTTTTACCAGCAGTAACCTGCACAGTGAACTGCCCACGTGCAGCGTCTTGTTCTACACTGAAAAATGAGGTCACTTGCACCAAGAGCAGGAAGGGATCGGCCCTGGCACACAGAACAGCCACAAGAACATGACACAATTCATGCTTGTTTGCACACTTGGAAAAGCTTTAGAAGAAAACCAGGCTATCAGTTGATTTAGAAATGCCAGGACTCTGCCAGGCAAGGAAGAGAATCCAGATCTGAGGCTCGTGCAGAATTTGGACTCTGCAGGCTCTCTAGCCTCAGTTTCCATAACCACCCAGCTCAAGATTCAGATGGAATTCTGCCTGTCTCCTGGGAAGAAGCTTGATCCCACGTGTGCAGATATCTGGCCCATGCATCCCACTGGCACTGTATTTAAGGATTTTTACATTCCAGCTGTAAGGAAGGCATTGGTGCCCACAAACCAACGCAGCAGCCCACAGAGGCTCAGACACCAGACCTAGCAAATAAACTTTACTGTCCAAGCCAGGAAAAAAGAAAATAAATTCTTTGTTGCAAAGCTCCAGAGAACTTGAACTTACATACACATAATAGGTACAATAATGGACTAGGAAGGCTTATTTTTTCAATATAAACATGACTTACTCATTTCAGAGATGCTGCTAATACATGTGTGAAGTGAGTAAAAGCACATAAAGCTGTATTTCACTAAAACTGTCACCTTTTTTGTTTCTCAAGGAAAAAGAAACTTTAGAAAGAACTTCCAATTACCCAAAAATACCCTTGAAGTTGTCAAAACATTAAGTTCACTTAATGTTAAAGCATGAGAAGCAAATTTAATTCAGGCACATGGACACAAGAAGACCTAAGGAATCCAAGCCCTAAGTGGTGCTGCTATATGATTTTCTGGAACCCAGGACAAATACCTTCTCACACATACCTCCATCTCCTGCTGTGCCACCTCACAGGCTGCTCCCAGCCCCACTGCCAGAGGGGTGGGAACAGTCCCAGAGCGCAGTCCTCTCTCCTGGCCTCCCCCACTCTGCAGGGGCTCCAGCCTGACGCGCGGTCGGCGGCGAACGTACAGAGCACCGACCCCTTGGAAACAAGGAAAGCTGTTTTACCACGTGCCCACAGCTCTGAAATTATGGACAGACAGGGACTCCCAGGTTTGGTCACATTCCTTATTTCCAAAGCAAACACACATTTGGACACTTAACTGGAGAAAAATGTAGTAAATGATACAGAATTGTATTATTTTCTAGGAAATGGTGTTTTTCCCACTGCTCATGTTCAGGCTCCCAGAGCTTCAGCCATGGGAGCTCAGCTTTTCCACTGTGCTTCAGCCACCCAGGGACTCATCACTTCCCTTTCTTCCCACAATTCCCACGCACAGCTGAAGTTCATCCCCTTGCAATGAAGTTTTTATGTGCAGATATTTCATTCACTGACAAAGTTCCCTTATTGACTTCCAACTCCTTTCCCTGGATTATCAGGCCCACACCAGTCCCAGGAGTTCTCTCCCTTTCTTCTCATTAGGAAGACTCATCAGTGGTAGCAATTTGCAGTGGGCAGATTAGATGAGCCACTTTTGACAGCCAGTCAATCTCACTCTCTCCTCGCTTAGAAACCCATTTTCATGTCTTCGTGTGCCCTGGTACTCCTAATGAGTGACTGTCACACGGGAAGAACAGCTGCAAATTCCAGCCATAATAAGTTGTGAAAATTTATGTCTGTCATTTGTCCAAAGCTACTGGTTGAGAACTTATTATCTCTGGACAAGGACTGTCTTCAGCTCTCAGGAGAGCTTGCACAGAAAAAAAAGACATACTGCAAAATTTTGCCTTTTGTTTCTGAAGAGCATACAGAATACAGCAAACCTGATTCCTGGCTTTCTACACCCACTGTCACAAACTAAATGGACCGTGACAGTAATAATACCTGGACTTTTAGTATTTGTGAGTCAATTAGAAAATCCACAGCTGGATTTTAAACCCCATTCTGCAAAGAAGATGCACAGATGGAGTTGTGGAAAGAAGCCACTGGAAGCAGAAAACAACCAAAATCACTAAGAATTTAAACTTTCCAGTTATCTTTTGGTCTCCTCGTTGCAAGTAACATTTGTGTTTAAACTTTGCTCTAAAACCCAGTGATTTCAGTTCAACCATTTCAGCACCAGTTCTGCCTCCAAGCTCCTGACAAAGCACTGCTCCAATGCTGCCACCATTAGACACCACAGTTCCTTCTTCAGTGAAACCACCCCAACCCATCAGCCCTGAAGATCCACTTGCTGCAGCTCTAAGCTGGCAGCAGAGCCCATCCAACACCAGTCTTAGAACAGTTTTCTGTATGTATGGCCATTCTTCCCGAACAAAGATTTGGAAAAGGTCTTTACCCTTTGAGCCTGTGCAGTGGATTTTTTAGGTGAGACATGGTGTGCACTGAACTGAGCCCACCCTTTAATCCCAAGGTTCATCTGACGGGGACAAGGGAGCTTGGATGGTGGCAGCGAGGTCCTGGGGAGCTTGGACGGTGGCAGCAAGGTCCTCAGGACATAGGTTTGTTTAGAGTGACCTTCTCTTAGATGGATGGCCTTACAGGGCTGACGAGCTCCATCTGCCCAGAGAAGTTCCCTGACCGGGAATCGAACCCGGGCTGCAGCGGTGAGAGCACCACATCCCAACCACTAGACCACCAGGGAACCCCCAGAACAGACTTCTACAGCTTAAGTAACTGTCACCACGACAAACAGCTTTGACTGCACATCTTGTGCAGTTAGCTTAAGTTAGGCATGGGAACAATTCATAAAGCACTTCAGTGAGTACCTTTTGGCCCATAAATTTTATGGCCACTGATGCTCATCAGATCAATTTTCATGTTGTTGACATCCATAGGAATTTTACCAATTGCTTGTGCAGCATCTGTGTGGAAGAAAACCTTCCGCTCCCGGCAGATCTCACCTGTAACAAAGACACCAAGGCAAACCCACGTTACCTTGTCTGATCACCATGATCCCAGGGATTACAGCAATGGATCTAAAGCATCAATGAATCTAAACCAACAGGAGGGACCAGTTCTGAGGTGACAAAGGAAGAAATGGGGACTGTGATGTCTCTTTTACAGTGAAGTGGCTAAAGCTGCACAGGAGCTACTGTAGCTGACGCTTTGGCACAGGTTTAGAAAGGCAAGACTGTGGTGAATTGCTTCAGTTGAGAAGTTAAAAAGTCTACTGCTGTTAAGAAGTGAGATTGTTTCCCAACTCACACCTACCAAGTTTAGGAACAAATGGTTGCATGAGACATCTAAGTTTCCACACAGAGATGACTCCACAGTTGGACAGAATTGGTTTTTTCTTGATTTTTTTTCTTCTCAACACCAGTCCAGTACAAGCTAGCTTTACTTTCACATTTATATTTGCCAAGTATTTTCATGCTATTTCCTCTGCTCTCCAAGTTTTGCAACACTCAGTCTTGAAAATGTTCTCAGAATTGTCACTAGTCCTCACACATGCTCATTATTACCACCTGAGCCTCTCACCAATGTTTTCACATCCAGACCTAAATACACTAAGGAACAAAATAACACATTGTTCATGGGCAGTGAACTTCAATATTATTTACTTCTGCCATTAAAAACATCACAACTCATCTTCCCCAGAATCCACACCTAGCACAGCTGCACCCCAGACCTCTCCTCTGCACAGGACGTTCAACACAATCCTTTACAGGGTAAGTTGCCCTCCTGTGTTTCAGCAAGATCAGCAATATCAGGCTCCAGGCCTCACACTAGCAGGGCCCCAGGTTCCCTCTGCAAGGCCCAGGCCTGGCCTGTGGGACCTGTTACCAAGGTGTTGTGAGAACATCCCGTGGGAACTGCAGCTGGCACCAGCCATCCCTGGTGTTTAAGCGTGGGACAGCAATGGCCTTGACAATGTCAGCACAGCAGGAAAACAAGAGTCCTCAGGCCTATACACAATTCACTGATGGTCAAATGGTTGTCAAGGAAGAAACAGAACCTTGAAAAGCCTTGGGGGAAATGCTGCTTTGAGCTTAATGAAGAAAAAAAATGCAGCAGCTACAAGAGGAAAACCAGCTGCACAAGATATCTGGCACAGCCTGAGAAAACAATACCCTACACAGTACAAACCCCAGGGCAGAGCCACAGCCAAAATACTGCCCAAAAAGGGAAACATCTTGAATATGAAGGTGTGCTGGTTTTGGTAGAGTTAACTTTCTTCAGAGTGGCTGGGATGGGGCAGTGTTTTGTGCTGAAGACAAGGTTGATAATATCGTGATGTTGTTGTTATTGCTGAGCAGGGCCTACACAGAGCCAAGGCCTTCTCTGCTTCTCATACTGCCACAGTGGAGAGGCAGCTGGGGGGATGTGGGAGGGGACACAGCCAAGGACCCAAACTGACCCCAAGGGATATTCCAGACCATATGACATCAGTATATAAAGCTGGGGGGAAGAAGGAGGGGACATTTAGAATGATGGTGTTTCTCTTCCCAAGTCACTGTTACATGGGATGAGGCCCTGCTCTCCTGGAGGTGCTGAACACCTGCCCAACTGTGGGAAGCAGGAAATTAATTCTTTGTTTTGCTTTCTTGTGTGATGGCTTTTCCTTTCCCCATTACACTGTCCTTATCTCAACCCATGAGTTCTCTGGCCTTTACCCTTCTAATCCTATCTGGAATGAGTGAGCAGCTGCTGGGGCTTGGGGGCTGCCTGGGGTTAAACCAGGACAGAAGGGGGGTGTGTATGTTTTGTCACTGTCATGGGAAACCTCATCACCAACTCACCGTGGGATCCAGGCTGTGCAGGCACCCGTTCACCCTCCCTGCTCCAACGACCCTGGTTCTCCAGGGTCTCCCTTCAACTGCTCCGAGGTCCCTGTCACTCCATCTGCCTGCTCAGAGCCTGGTTCACCTTCTCCCTGCCTTCTGTTCCAGAAACCTGGCTCTCCAGCAGCCTTTTGGCCTCCAAACCAACGGTTCATGACTGTGTACGGCAATACGGGGGGAGGGTGGTGATCACCACCCTCTCCCACCCGAAATCCTGCACATTTCTCCTCTTAAACACTACAAGTGCTCAATAAACTGTTATAGTGCACAGTCTTAATCTGGCCAGTTATTCTGTGCAATTTTTTCATCCATCATACATTTCAGAATGAAACTAGAAACACTGCAGTTGATCTATTCAAGGCTATAATTGCTGTAGTGCTCACTGGAAAAGCAGTGACTTTCATTCCCATTTCCCTTTTAAAATCAGTTTTTATTTGGGACAGCAGATTTATTTATTTACATTATATTTTTCTTTTTAAATACTTAAATTATTATTTATTCCTTAAGTACATTACACCTAATCTTTTGCATCAGTACCACTTGGGGATGAAATTATCAACTAAAATGAAGCAGAAGCAACTTCAGCTGGCATCTGAAAGCCACACAGTACTTACCAATGTCGTGAATTGGCTGCTTTACTCCTATTTCATTATTCACAGTCATTACAGAAACCAAACTTGTGTCTGGCTGGAATGCAGCCTCCAGCTCCTGGTGAAAGATTCAGAGGGACAGAAGTTGTGACTAACAGGTCACAAAGGACACGAGGTCCTCTTAAGCATCAATTTGAAGCAAAAACTTCTTCTATTTTCAGTTTCTGTCTGTCAGTAACAACTTACCTTCAAATCTATGAGCCCATTGTTTTTAACAGGTAGATACGTGACCCGAAAACCTTCTGTTTCCAAGGAACGACAAGAATCCAACACACACTTGTGCTCTGTTTGTGTAGTAATTATGTGCTTTTTCCTGGATTTATAGAACCTTGCAACACCCTGTCAGGCACAATCCACAAACAAGAAATTGGCCATTAGACCACTGAAGAAAGCCATGACTGGAAACAAGAAATCAATACTTTGATATAATTCATTTCAATCTTTCCTGTCTGAGCCAAAGTCATGAATCTAAAAGGTACTGACACATAATCCACACTACGTGTCTCCACAAGCACTCATTTTTGAAAGCAACTCATTTCTCAAAAAACCTGTGAAAATGTTAACTGACAGAAGTTACAAATGTCATTAATCAAAACACTTTTTAAAAAACATTTTATGTGGAGTCATATACACTGACAAGCCTGAACAACCACATACTAAAGGTTAAAACACAACCCAGTCTTCATCAGAAAAAAGTTCCTAATCAGCATTGTCCACTGTATTTCACGATAAAGATTTTAATTACATAAGGAGAAATGTTGTATTTGGTGCACGTAAGATAAACACTGAATATTTTACACTCAAAACCACATCCTGTGCACTAAAACATTCCATGTATTTCCTCCAAGCTGTAGCAGAGCATCACAAGGAGCAAATCCAGGAATGCAAATATTTGCTACCTACTCCAACATATTAACATTTAAACTGTTCAAAGATGCATACAGTTCTTAAGAGCATAAATAACTATCAGTATAAACCTTTTACCTTAATTGCCATATTATTAGATTCTGTTGCACCACTGGTAAATATAATTTCCCGTGAATCAGCTCCTATTAAATCTGCAACTTGCTGTTTAAAAAGAAATACAATGTCAATATGTTAAGAAAATATACAGTGAATCCACCACAGCAAAATACAAGCAAAATGTTTTCAAGAAAACCCCCTCGAGCCTCAAAGGGATTACAGCTGGTCATTACAGAAGTAGTATTAAGGAGTAGCCTGTCATAAAAGAGATAAAAAGTAGACAAAAACCCATTACACATTACTTCAAAAAAAAAAAAATTACAAAGACCCACACTAAGATTAGGAGAGTGATAAAATATGGAGTAGCCCAATCACTGCAGCATCACGCTTGTGACCCCAGGAAACCAAAATTCCTGAGGAATCTTTGTCTAAAGTTTTGGTTTCTGCCACTTCAGCTGCTCTAATCTCACTGTTAGGGCAAGTCCTGGGACAGGACAACCCCGGATGTACGGACACAGTGGGGAATGAGAGGCTCTGGGAAAGGGGTCAGAGGTTTGGGCTGAGGCAGGTGGAACAGAGGCCAGCAGTGCCCTGGCAGCCCCAAAGGGCAGCCCTGTCCTGGGGGGCATCAGGCCCAGCAGGGTGAGGGGGGTCTGTCCTGCTCTGGTCTGCACTGGGGCAGCCTCACCTCAAGTCCTGGGGCAGGTTGAGGGGCCTCTATATGTGGATATAAAGCCATCAAAGAGCACATGCAGAGGAGGCTACAAAGATGGTGAAGGGCCTTGAGGAACAGCAGAGGGCATTTGGCTTGTTCAGCTGGAGGAGACTGAGGTCAGACCTCCCTGGGGTTCTGCAGCTTCCCCACGAGCAGCAGCGGAGGGGCAGCACCGACCTCTGCTCTGTGACCACTGAGAGGGCCTGAGGGAACAGCTGGAGCTGTGCCAGGGCAGGGTCAGGCTGGATCTCAGGAAAAGGTTCTTCCCCCAGAGGGTGGTTGGCACTGAACAGGCTCCCCAGGGCAGTGGGCACAGCCCCAAGGCTGCCAGAGCTCCAGGAGGGTTTGGACAATGCTCTCAGGGACAGGGTGTGACTCTTGGGGATGGTCCTGTGCAGGGCCAGGAGTTGGACTCGATGATCCTTGTGGGTCCCTTCCAACTCCGGATATTCTGTGATTCTATTTTTTCTTGAAAAAAATCTACTAAAGCAAAGCAAAGAGGAAGCTGGTAAATCCAGCCCACAGAGAACAGGCTTTTTCCCTTCATTGTTTTTGATGTTCTTTTGACACTGAATGTCCTTGCCAGCAGGAAAACCATGACTGTGAAGATGAAGACTCACCCTCCTCGCCTTCTCCATGGCAGCCTCGCTCTCCCAGCCATAGGCGTGGGTCCTGGAGTGGGGGTTGCCATAGTAGGCTGTCAGGTATGGGAGCATGCTATCCAGGACTCTGGGATCCTACACGACACAAAACACCCAGCCTTAGAAACAGAGAAGGAAAAGCATCTCTGTCCCCTCTAGACATGCACCCCTACTGCACGATCAGCACTTGTGTCACAGTGTCTTGCTTTAGCTCAGGCCAGATCTCAAAAACGTGAGGTTATTACACATTATGGACAACACCAGTGTCTGGCAATTGTGTTCTATGCCCTTGATCTGCACTGAGGCGATCACAGAACGGGATCATCTGAGCAAACAGAACCACAGACTGCTTGGAAGGCTCATCTTGTTCTGCCCTCCTGCCATGGGCACGGAGAGCTTCCCCTAGGCCAGGGCGTTCCAAGTCCCATCCAACACGGCCTTTCTTCTGAGCAAAAGAAATACAAGGTCTTAAAGTGTCAAGAGAAATGGCAGGCTGGTATTTTGGTTGAATTAACCTCCTGCTGCCTCTCGCAGCCGCCCCCACTCCCGCAGGGTCGGTGTGAGCCCCGCCGCCCTCCCGCCCTGCCCGCGACCGGGACTGCCGGCGGGGCTCCGGCCCCCGGGGGCGCCCGAACTGCCCCGTGTTCCTGCGCCGGGCACGGCCGGTGTGCGGGCACGGCCGGTGTCCCTGTGCCCGGAGCAGCCGGTGTCCCTGCGCCGGGCACGGCCGGTGTGCGGTGTCCCCGTCCCCCGGAGCCCGGGACACAGGCGAGCGCTCAGGAAGAGCCGTGAGCGCGGGCCCCGCTCGCTGTCCGAGCTCGGCGCGGACCGTACCAGCGGGGTGGTGGCCTGCACGTCCATGTAGAGCGGCCGCAGGGCGCCGTCGCCATCGCCGGTTGGCCCTGAGGGGAGAAGAGTGGAGGGAGCTGCTGTCGGGGACGGGCGGGAGCGGCGGGGCCGCCCCTGCGCCGACAGCGGCTCTGCCCGACCGCGACCTTACCCGGTCCTTGTCCCTCTGCCTGTCCCTGTGCCTGTGCCTGTCCCGGTGCCGCCCGGAGCCGCCGCGGGGCGCGGCCGCTCCCCAGCCCCGCCAGACGCCGCCACAGCAGCATGGCGGGCGGGCAGGCGCGCGCATGGGCGGGGCCGCGCTCGGGACCGCCCCTTCCGGTCCGTCAGGAGCGCGCCGGAAGCGGGGCCGGGCGGAGCGCGGAGCGGCCCAGCGAGGTACCGGGGCGCTGAGGGGGAGCCCCGCCGGGCCCCGGGACACCCCCGCGCTCCTGACCGGGCGGGGAGCGGCGGCCGCCGCTCCCGGGGCGCCCCCGCCCTGGCCTCGGGCTCCGGGAGGGCGGGTTCGCTGTGCCCCCGGGGCCGGGCCGCGGGCGCTGCTCGCGGTGGGACGGCACAGGGGAGGCCCCGGGACAGCCCCGCGGCGCTCGCAGGAGCTGGTTGGGGGTGAAGCGGGGCCGTCAGTCCCTGCCCGGCCTTCCTGCACGGCGGGCGGGGAGTCAGGCCCGGGGGCCGGCACAGCGCTGCAGCTCCGAGCCCGGGCCGGCCCGCGGTGCGTGTGGAGGCCCGTTACACAAAGCAGTAAAGCCTGTGGGGTTTGTCCTTTCTTTTCTAGATGCCTGTGACCGTGGGCCCGTACGGGCAGTCGCAGCCCAGCTGCTTCGACAGGATAAAGATGGGTTTCATGATGGGCTTTGCCGTGGGCATGGCTGCAGGGGCGCTGTTCGGCACGTTCTCCTGCCTCAGGTACGCCGAGGAAATGCTGCCACAGGCGGGTGGTGACAGGGCGACAGCCAGAGTGAAATGGTGCTGCTGGGGGGCCGGGAAGGGATCGGGGCTGGGCCTGTGCTGTCCGTGGGTGGAAGTTTGTCAGGGTCTCCAGACTGGCCACACTGATCAGCCCTGGCATCCACCAGGCGAGTCTGGCCCTGGCAGAGTGTCAGCTCTGGGTCACCCCTATGCCAGGAGGTCACAGTTCCACAGACCTTTTCCTGCCACCTGTTGGGAAACTGGGGCTGTGGAGGATCAGCTCTGGGGGGAACTGGATGAATGGTGTGTGCAGCCCTCTCCTGGCACTGAAGCTTCCCAAGGTGCTCTGCAGGCTCCCAGTGTCTGCACTGTGGTCACTTTGCACGGGGGCAGTTACTGAACTGACCCCAAGTATGAGCTCAGGAGTGTGGGCAGAGCGTGGCTGGCACTGGCACAGCCCCACTGTGCATCAGAGGGGGACAACATTCCACCTTCCCTGGGGTTCACCAGCTTGGAAACACCAGCTCAGTGCTCTGGGTTCACTCTGGCACTGCTGACTGGCTTTGCACATCACCTGTGAGAAGGAACCACTGCAGTCAGCTCTTTCATACTTTGCACAACTCCTTCTGCTCCAGGGTTTTCACCTGTGATTAAACACAGGACAAAAAGGCATGAAGTCTAATCCAGTGGAAGTTTGATGTTTTCCTGATCTGAGTTCCCAGAGGGTATTTCTAAGTGTCACAATGGTGGCAGAAAATACAGATTTGGGGGATTTAGAAGAAGCAGTTATAGTGGTTCTACTGTACCATTTCTGAGGGTAAATCTCATGTTTTAAGAATCAAGTGCATGAAATTCCTTAGACCCTAAAGTCACTGCAGTGCTTAAAAGCCAAATATTACAAGAGCTTCTTGAGACAGAACAATTCTTTTTGTTTCAGTCAGACCTCAGGTAGGTAAGAACTGGAGACCAGAAACACCTCTGGACACTTTTAGGCCTTTCAGGTGTCTCTCATATTAAAAACACAATCAGTAGTAAATAGGAAGTTAATTTTAAGTTGGTGGTATTAAAGCACTGCCATTGCATCCAGACAGGATGGCAATACAATAGTTCAGACAACTCTTTTTGTTCTCTTGCAAGTCAAAAAGTTGGACAGCACGATTTTTTTTTCTCCCATATTAAGGGTGTTTGGGGCACTAAGATGTAAAGCTGTTCTTGCTGTGGCGTGGCAGGATGGTTCCACTGCAGGAAAAAATACACGTGGGCCATTGGTGAGGGTCATTCAGGAGCCCCTGCAGTAGCTGAAGCAGTAGCTCAAGCACAGGGCACCACAAAGAGTGTCGGGGTAGGAGAGGTACCACTGCACAGATTTAGGCTGATTTAGCTCATTTGTAACCATGAGCTGGTTGTCTCCCATGTTTTCTGCTGCTTGTCTGTGATGTGTCAGGTTTCAGCTTCTGTATAATTCCCTGGTTTTCTTTACCTCAGGATTGGCATGAGAGGACGAGAGCTGATGGGTGGAGTTGGCAAAACGATGATGCAAAGCGGTGGGACGTTTGGGACATTCATGGCCATTGGTATGGGGATACGCTGCTAGCCTCGAGTCTGGGATGTATCCCAGAGTGCCCCTGCCCAGCCATTCCTCCTCTGTACCATAATAAAATCTTTAGATACCTGGAAGTGAGAGCTCTTCATGAAACAGCAAAGCCCCACCCTCCATGCTCTGCTATTCTTAACATGCTTTTCACTAAATTTCTACTTTCCTCTCATCATTTACTCCCAAGACAATGAGAATTAACCATCCTTGGTACTGCATTAAAGTTCTTGTTTCACCAGTGTAAGTACAGCATACACAGGTCTCCCTTTGGCACTTGGGCAGCTCACATTCCCCATGTGGATGTGGAGCAGCTCCATTGCCTTCAAGCATTCTTGAGTCTAGGAAAGTTTACTGGGTGGCTAATTCAGATTAATGATTGAATTTCTCTCCTCTTGCAAAAAAGGTGGGTTGGAGCCCGTCCCATTTCTGAGTTCCAGGTGACAAAGGGCAGGTACTCTCACAGAGTGAGGGACCCCAGGACCAGGGCAGGCTGTAGGTCCTGGTCCTACAGGACCTACAGGACCTTTTCCTACAACCTGCCTTAGCAGGCCCACAGCGTGCCATGTTTCCCTGGGAGAGCTGGGGATCCCTCCCACCATTCCCTGACCCCAAAGCATTGCCTGCAGCAGACCTACGAAATGAGGGCTGGTGTTGCAATGTGCCAGTACTTGCCTTTTGAAACAAGGCTTATTGCTGCTCCTGCCTTAGTTCTTTCTGAGGAGACAGGTGAGCAGCAGCACTGTCTGAGCCAGCACCTGTACAGCCCTGACCTGGTGCAGGTGCCTTTTTCCCTGTTTTTAAGGTGGAACCAATCCAGCACTCACAGCCTGTTCTCAGCCTGCTGCCATGGGCTCAGCCCAGAACAGCTCCTTTAACTCCAGCTGGCACTGAGGGACTAATACGGGACACTAAAAAAAGAAAGCTCAAGCACAGCCTGAGAGCAGCCCTCACAAACCCCCAGACTCTCCTGTAGCGTCTTCCTGGCCCCTCCCCACCTCTGTGCTCCCTCCAGTCACCTGCTCCCAGTTCCTGGATTGCTGAGGACAGTCCCTTGCCCCACTGCAGCTCAGGCACAGCCACACACAGCCCTGCTGGAGAGCCAGTCATCCCAGTGCTCTGGGAACAGCAGCAGGATCCCTGCACTGCCTGCCTCGCCTTCCCCCACCAGCAGGAATGTTCTCACTCCATACTCTCCACCTTGGCCAAACAGTTTTTCTGAGTGGTTAGAAAGGCCAGGGAGGCAGGACAGGGGTAGGAAGGGCAAAGCACAGGGGAGGCTCCCTCCAGAAAGCAGAGTGAAAGCCAGTGTAACCGATTCCTCCAGCTCCAGGACTGCCAACCACTTGTGAATGATGGGGGTGGAGTGGGCAGGAGGGAGGCAGCTCTGGAATGAACTTCCAGCAGGTCTGAGGAGGGTGAGCTGTGCCCAGGTCCTCAACAACGACGGCGACAGAGCAGAGGGTTGAGAACAGCAGGAACCAGCTCCTGCATGTGCTCTGAGCACGGGGTATCCCACCTGGTTATCTCCACCTGGGATACCTGCAGTGGTATCCCTGACATCCACCACTGCACAGCACCCATCACTCACTTGCAGGCCACAGCACACACTGCTTAAGTCACAGTGGGAGAGCAGAAAAATAAAGCTTCATGAAGGCCTTTTAAAGAGAATTTTATTTGAGTGGTTCTTACAAAGATTGTTGCAATATGAAAGTCTTTGTTTGATAGAAATATCAAGCTGTCTTGTCAAACACACTGAAGTAACCCAAAAATATATTTCAGAGCTCACAGAGCTTAAAAAGAGCAAAGATTATATGCAACCAGAACAAAACACGTTTCTGTATTTCCTACCCCTTTTCAGCCTTGGCTGGAATCTGTCAGCTCTGCCTCACTGCACACGTGGAAACTCATCCGGAAATGCAGAGATCGTTTTGTTTGGAAACTTAGACACACCTCACAGTATTTACAAAGAAACTTTTACAGATACATTAATCAAAAGTTACCATCAAGAAATAAAACCCTTCAATCCTTCTATTCTTACCAATTATTCAGCACAAAGCAAGCTGAGTAGCTGCCGCAGTCAGCCTTCAGTAGCCTTTTGGATTTTTCATTTGTACAAAACACTAAATATGTCCCTTCATCCAGTCTCTCTCTGATATTGCCCTTGAGCAGATCACCCACATTTAGTGAAATGTAAAATGTCTTTGCTGCATTAAAAGAAAGGCTCGTGAAACATTAAAAATGTCATTATGTCCCATCTGCCTTTTACAGAGAACTTGTTATCTATGAGCTACTTCTCAGTTCCTACGGATCACCTTAGTCAATGTACAAGAATTACAAGGCAGAACAAGAAGTCAACAGCTTTGTATACAGTGGAAATGCTAGTTAGGGAGAATGAACACACTGCATTTCTGCTTACTTCGTTTTATTTTTAAAGGTAGCAGGAAGTGTACACAAAATGACATTAAATCCTTTCCTTTAGTTTTATCTAAATAAAAGATAACTCAATCTTCCTCCAAAAAATACCTATGTACAAAACTGACTAAATTAATCTTCATCGTCGAACAGGAACCAGTAGTTGGGTTGCAGTCATGGAGTCTGGGAAAAGGCTGTGGTACGTTGGAAGAGGTACATACGCTGCTGTGATCATTTTACCTGAGCACAGGATCAAACAAAAACAACCATCAGTGGCTGGGCATTTCTGCCAGGGGTGACTGAGTAGAGAAGTGCACGTGAAACACCCACCTGCAAACCACCTCCCGTGCAGCGCGTTGACGGCCGCGATGGCAGCGGCGATCGAGGGACACTTGACGTACACGTTGCCCTGCAAGACACAACGAGGCAGCCTGTGAGGAGGGGACACTGCCACGGGCTGTGCCCCAGCCAGCCCCTGGCCACACCTGCTCCACTGGCACGGACCAGTGACAGAAGGAACAGGGGAGAAGGGGGCAGGGGGCAGTGTCCTGACAGGCACCGCCCCACGGGAGCAGTTAAGGCAGCACCACATCTTTCTAAGCAGGATTTTCCAAGACAGCCCAAACGTGCACTCATCTGCTCTCACTGAGCCGTGGGTGGCTCCTGAGAACCCTCTAGAGGGGCCCTGAAGGCTGTGAGAGAGGACAGCACACGGGGTGTGGCTGCCCCCAGGGGCTGTGAGCCACTGACCTCAGCCACAGATCCCTCTCTCCCTGGTCTGAGCTCCCAGCCCGATTCCACAAGGAGCAGGCACGCCCCATTCCCCAGGCCAGGAAGAACACACAGCACCTCAAGGGAGACTGATACTGTAAAAATTCTCTTACATGAACTTCAGCATCTATCTGTCTTTACTTGAACAGGGACTGAGGCAAAGGGAAGACCCCATCCCAGCAGGGCAGGAGGCCTGAGATGGTCCCCAGGGTGAATGACAGACTGATCTTAGAACTTGGCCAGAGATACCTGGAGTTCCCCCATCTGTAAATCAAGCACTGTGCCTCCCTAATCTGGAGAGCTGCAATAGTCACATCCAACAACTCCAAGGCACACAGATGCCCACAGTAATGTGTGGCATTTTTCTGGCTGCCTCCTTAAAAATAGACCACCATCAGTAATTCCTGAACCAGATCAGATTCTAGCTGAAAGAGGTTTTTCAGGAAAATAATATATTAAGAAACAGACTTCCCTGTAGCAGCTTTTGCCAGCCTGTACTAACTCTTCCCACGGTGATCTAGCTCATTCCCTGCTCAGGGGGTGACCCTGAGCTCAGGGGCTGGTGATGAAGGCATTAAGCAATGAACACACACAGCTCTGCTCTCAGCCTCCTCCTGCAAAGGCAGCCAAGCTCCTTGAACCCCAAAATGAGGTACAGCAACACAAAGCTGTGCCTTTCCTTGACCCCCCAGTGCAGTACACGAGCCGTGCACTCAGCTGGGACTGCAACCCTTTCATCCACAACAAATCACCCCTCGTGGCCAAGCCCTGACAGTCTCAGTGTGCAAGTCTGGCTGGGACAGAGCCCTGAACGTGCCCAGAATCTCAGTCTGCAAAACAGAACAGCACAAGGGAGCTTAGGTTCAAATCCAGTATTTTTAAATATCGGTGGGTGTTTTATATCTGGGTCATCGCTGTGCTACTGTAACAAAATGGGTTTCATTTTTTATGAAACATTTAACTCACGACACAGTAACTGTAGTTTTTTCTTTTAAATCCACTTGCTAAGGTAAAATAGAATTGCAGCTCCACATGCTCAGAACACATGTGAGGGATGTTGAGGGCTAGTGCATTTTTGAGGGGGTTATGTGATGCTTTTTTTTGTTTTGTGTTTAGTTGGGCTTTTGCAGGGGGGTGTTCTGGACTGTTGGGTTTTTTTATCTGTCAGAGAACAGTGGTCTCTCAGACAGTAACAGACACACACTGTGGGAAAGGTTTCTGCCTCCCAACAGTCCAATACAGCAGTGACCTTGAAGATTACAAGGTGCCAGGGACACTGTTTTACATACTAAACTGCAGCTCCCATCTAAACTCTCTGTAACTCATGGAAAAGTGTTTCAGGTGACACTGTGGCAGCTGCACAAGGACAGCAATGGTCAGTGAGTGCCAAGTGCATCACCAGGGCAGACCAACCCCACCCAAACAGACTGGGACAGCAGGGTGGGTTCCAGCCCCACACCACGGAACACAACAGGACACCTCCAGGGGCTGAAGAGTAGAAACCAGCCTGACTGAGACCATCTGAAAACTGAACTTCAGTCTGGGCTCTGAATTCTTTATAAAAGGGGTTCCAGGCGGCCAAATTTATTTACAGACCTTCCACAGTTTATATATTCTAAGAGCTGAAATACAGGGAAGAGGTAACTAATCTGGGGATTGTGTCAACACAGTGAAGAAAAATATATTCACCTGTTTAAGATGCAGGTATGAACCTGGAATTCCCTGTTCTATCTCCAGGCCCTCAGACTTTCCCCTGTAAGGCTCTAACATCACCAGTGTTCCCAAGCCTGGGTTGAGGCTCACATTTCCTGCACACCTCAATTCTGCTGCAGCAGGGGCCCTCTGTGCTGAAGCCTGGGCTCTCTAGAAAGAGGAAACTGGAAGTCCCTGATGTGGGGGA